GATAGGCTGCACTCTCAGTGATGTTACCTGTCTCTAGTGAACGGATAGGCTGCACTCTCAGTGATGTCATCAGTCTCTAGTGAATGGATAGGCTGCATTGTCAGTGATGTCATCAGTCTCTAGTGAATGGATAGGTTGCACTCTCAGTGATGTCATCAGTCTCTAGTGAATGGATAGGCTGTATTCTCAGTGATGTCATTGTTCTATATCGTATGGATAGGCGGCATTCTCAGTGATTTCACCGGTCTAGTGAATGGATAGGCTGCATTCTCAGTGATGTCACTGGTCTCTAGTGAAGGGATAGGCTGCATTCTCAGTGATGTCACTGGTCTCTAGTGAAGGGATAGGCTGCATTCTCAGTGATGTCACTGGTCTCTAGTGAAGGGATAGGCTGCATTCTCAGTGATGTCACTGGTCTCTAGTGAAGGGATAGGCTGCATTCTCAGTGATGTCACTGGTCTCTAGTGAAGGGATAGGCTGCATTCTCAGTGATGTCACTGGTCTCTAGTGAAGGGATAGGCTGCATTCTCAGTGATGTCACTGGTCTCTAGTGAAGGGATAGGCTGCATTCTCAGTGATGTCACTGGTCTCTAGTGAAGGGATAGGCTGCATTCTCAGTGATGTCACTGGTCTCTAGTGAAGGGATAGGCTGCATTCTCAGTGATGTCACTGGTCTCTAGTGAAGGGATAGGCTGCATTCTCAGTGATGTCACTGGTCTCTAGTGAATGGATAGGATGCATTCTCCGTGATGTCACCAGTCTCTAGTGAACGGATAGGCTGCATTCTCAGTGATGTCACCGGTCTCTAGTGAATGGATAGGCTGCATTCTCAGTGATGTCACTGGTCTCCAGTGAATGGATAGGCTGCATTCTCAGTGATGTCACCGTTCTCTAGTGAATGGATAGGCTGCATTCTCAGTGATGTCACTGGTCTCTAGTGAAGGGATAGGCTGCATTCTCAATGATGTCACCGTTCTCTAGTGAATGGATAGGCTGCATTCTCAGTGATGTCACTAGTCTCTAGTGAACGGATAGGCTGCATTCTCAGTGATGTCACCGGTCTCTAGTGAATGGATAGGCTGCATTCTCAGTGATGTCACTGGTCTCCAGTGAATGGATAGGCTGCATTCTCAGTGATGTCCCCGTTCTCTAGTGAATGGATAGGCTGCATTCTCAGTGATGTCACTGGTCTCTAGTGAAGGGATAGGCTGCATTCTCAATGATGTCACCGTTCTCTAGTGAATGGATAGGCTGCATTCTCAGTGATGTCACTGGTCTCTAGTGAAGGGATAGGCTGCATTCTCAGTGATGTCACCGGTCTCTAGTGAATGGATAGGCTGCATTCTCAGTGAAAATCTCTAGCGATTGAATGGGCTGTTTAAAATCTACTGTGGCCTTTGATCTGATACACTGTTGGCCTGCATGATATCTCACCACTCTCTTTTACTATTGCAGCTACGAATGGTCAATATCTCCTGACAGGAGCATATGATAACACAGCCAAGGTGTGGACTCACCCTCTCTGGTCTCCATTGAAGACCCTGGCTGGACACGAGGGTAAGGTGATGGGGCTGGACATCTCGCTGGATGGAGAGCTTATTGCCACCTGTTCCTTTGATAGAACTTTTAAGCTGTGGATGGCGGAATGAAGTGACATTTATCACAAAAGGACATTTATTGAACAGTTTGTACCGGAGCATCAAGAAATGTTCAGCTTCCCATTATGGAAGATCCCCTTCACACCACAGAGCAGAACATGCTCAGTTTGCCTTCCTGTTGTTTTTATAAGTTACAATAAAAGACCTGGGTTTCATAGAGTTCAGGTACATTCTGTTAGTGTTTATTATGCAGATCTCTCAATATTTGCGATCCTTTAAAAACTGGAAGTTCTCCTCCAGGCGGCAAGTGAACACACATACTTCACTGGCATTCATCTTCTTCTTGGGTGGAGACGCCATTTATTTTTGGTTTCACACTGAAACATCAATAAACAATAATACATTTAAAACCACTGTTGGACCTAGTCACTCGCAAAAATATGCAGGCCATGACTTCACTGACTTCCTGCTCGGTAACCAAGTAGGGAAGCTATAGAGTTGGTATGATGGCCAGGAAACTAGCAACCTCTTAAAGCCCAGCTCCAAACAAAACACATGTTTTTGGTTAGAGTGAAGAAGGGATGTAACTGTCAGGTTTTTGTTGCCATCTGCTTCCCTGTTGGGTAGATTTCACCTTACTTCCTTTCCTTATGACCAAAAAGGAAGTGAAGAGTTCTCCCCAAAGGGGACACAGACAGAATTAAAAACCTTTGAGGTTTGATGTCCTGCCTCTGACCAAAGGAAGTGAGTGAAAATCTCCCGACAGATGATCCCACCCTCATCCACTCACCTCACAAAACATAATTGGCTGGATTTTGGCTTTAAAGGAGAACTATGAGGTGAGTTCTTTTCACTCACCTCATAGTTCTAGCCGACCTGTGACAATGAGACTGTCACAGGTTGGCTGAGTAGATCGGGAGGTGAGCGAACAGTTACCGGCGTTCGCTCACCTCTCGATCCTGTCACGGCAGAGAGCTGGATTCCCCTCTCCCCGCTCCGATCCGCCAGCGCTGACTGGCAGAACGGACATGGGAGGGGGCGGGTACAGCTTGCTCTGCCTCTAGATAGGCAGAGCCAGCTGTCACTCACGCAGCTGGGCCGATCTCGACATCGATGTCGGGATCCGCTCCGGCTGCGGCGTCTCAGTATACCGCGAGTTGTAGCTTGCGGTAATCTGAGCTTAGGGTGACGGGAGGACGCTAGTTTGTGTCCTCCCGTTACCCTAAGGAGAACTATGGGGAAAGCTCTAACCCCATAGTTCTCCTTTAAATTAAGAAAAGAACAATGGTACTGTATTTATACCATGTATTTATACCATGACAAGTGTTTACTTTAAAGAGGACCGGTCACTTTTTAAGTGTTGTCAGTTCTGTGCGAATTATGCCGTTTTCTGATTTCTTTTGCTTTTTCCAGAGCTGCGTCTTTCCAGAGAGCACAGATCCGCTCTGTGGTGTCCATTTTACAACATCCCGCCAACTTTCTGCTTTTTCCCATCTGAGCTAAGTGCCTCAGGCCTTTCATCCCCCTCATGTGACATCACTTAAGGGCTTCTGTTTTCTATCCAGTCATTGTTGTGTACTGGTCCACTCTGCTGACTTCTGTTCGCATCATAGGACCCCTTTTGTTAACCTATTTGTAATGCAGGAGAAAAATTCCCAAACTCTCTCCCACATACAGAAAGCCTGAGGTATGGCTGTCAGAACGAATAGATGTACAAGCCTTCCTCGGAAGTCTGAATATGATTAGTCATACGCAAAGCAAAAGAAAGAACGGTACAAGACACAGACCTGTTGGCTGGGTTCAAAAAAAGTCGCCATTTGTGCCGAGAGGGAGATTAGAATGGAAACTCTTAATTCAGGTCCTTGGTAAATGTCTCGCATCTTCCTGATTTCCGTGGGTACTGTAAGCTTGCTAAGAAGCTCAGTGAGGTCTCATGAAAGATAAAAAATGTGGGCCTGCTAGTATAGAAAAAAAGAAATCCTATGCATCTAATATCCAAAGGTAATGTGAAGATTTGGCAAATGACCTTTTTATTCCAACAATTGTAGTAAGGCGGAGTTGGACAACATTATAGGAAGGTGTTCTTTGCTGTAAGAGTGATTCATCTGTGGAATGTACGGCATGAGGTAGGTATGGCAAGATGAATCCATCCTATTTAATAAATAACCCATAATCAGGGTGCAAAATTAAACCTGGTCCTATTAACAAGCCCCACCCCCAAACGATCCACCTTATTACCAGAATCCTGGGTCTTTTCTCCCCGCAGGAATCTGTGAATTGTAAAATTGGCACCACACACACAGCCATGTTTATCTTTTGAGACTGCAAGACCCATCAACCACCGAGGCAATAGAGTATGGGTAGGGTGACGTCGCCACACTTGCAGTCCATTGATAATTCCTCCAGTCCCATAACTGAAAGTCTGCACCTCAGCACAGATCTGGGGCTGGAGGAAGAGTCTGCAGGAGCCTGAACATGGCACCCGTGATTGATCCACTGATCGCAGTTGCAATGCTTTACTGGCTCCAATGCAAGATATCAATCAATCAATCAATGCAGATTTTTTTTCTTTTAAAATGTGTTTTTATTATTTTTTTTGCAAAAGGTGGACTGGATTCTTTTCTTACAACTAACCCAGTTATAATTACTTAAGGATAGTATAGAAATATTTGAAGGCAGGGGATAGATGTGACTGCCTTGCTGGAATTTTGCCCCTTCCCCATGAGGCAAAATTGGCCAAATGTTCCCAGAGAGTATTATTTTGCTTTCTTTTGGACCAAAGCTGCTGTAGTCTGTCAGACGCTGAACTCCAAAGCAGTGCATTTCTTCTTTTGGGCAGGGGCTAAAATGTAATTGTTACCCTTGCTCCCTGAGTCTGGTATCACCATCTCAGCCAGGGGCAAGTTCTGTGTGAGACAAATTTCATGAGCACTACCTTATACAGAACCCGCAGCAAAGGGTCTAGAGATGTCAGAATCTGTGGGCTGGCCCTTTAAATGAACAAATATGATCTTTAGGGTTCTTCTATTTTTGTAGAGAGCAGCAAGAGCAGAACTAAAAGCAAACCTGTATTTTTTTATTTTACCTTCCTTTCTTATTTATTTCACCCAACTCCTCCGACACAGGAGCCAGTACTTCTGTGTACGGAGGCACGTGACACTCCCTCATCACCAATAGTGCAGCGCTGTGTGTCTGAGCAGCCAACTGCTAGTCCCAAGCTTTGTCACATGGAGGGGCAGAGGTCAGCCCGCTTATCCCTGTTCAAGTTTCAGTAGTTCTTAACAATGCAACCATGAGGACTAATTGTCAGTTGAAACTTGCACCCCATTCTGTTTTTTGTCCTGCACATTCTCTGACTGGTAGATCGGAGGTTGACAATGTTAGTACTCAAAGGCAGCAGCTGGATGGCAGTGGGGTCGTGTTGTGAGATGTCACTGATTTGCATCATCCTGGTCCCCATAACATCTTACGAGTCCAGAAGATGGAAAATATTAGAAGCAGGCTCACCACCAGCATAGTAATCATGAAGTAGGAGAACATCCGGAACTGAGGGTTGTGGAAACACTGCCAAGAAGAATCTTCTGAGGGAATAGTGGTTAACGTGGGCTGGAGGTCAGTCTGGTGCATATCGTATATGGACCCCGTGTCTTGACCCATGCTGAGGGTGTAGACGGAGGGCGGCCGCTGGAAGAAGTTTAGCCTCCGGGTGTCTCTGGCACACAGTCCATTTTTCTCTGGCTCTAGCTTAAGCTGGCCTAGGATGGCGGTGTTGGTAGGTAAGTCTGTAACTGTCTGATCTAAATGGAGCGCTGTGGTTTGGCGACACAGTGGGCATTGCAGCCGGTTGTGGATGTGAGTGGCAAAGCTCAGGCGGGCCAGGCAGTCCAAACAAAAGGAGTGGTGGCATGTTAAGAGTTTGGGAATGCGGAAGGTGTTATTGTACGGGTTCCAGCAGACAGGGCACTCATAATCTGGGTCCAGTTTCGCATTGTCTGCCATGGTGACATTTGTTGTGTGCGCCAGTACGACCATTAAACTGGAATTTCACCTTTTGGGGAGAAAAGAAAAAAAGCATTCTTATCACAGAATATGTGTAAGTCACCAAAATATACTCATTTTCTACCTCTGACTGCTAGAGGGCATTGCTTCCACTTCCTGAGCCCTATAGGTAAGTCGTCAGTAAGGGATACATCCGTAACCCTGTTTGCCAAGCTTTGCACTGTAATTGTAAGGCAAGAACGGATAATGTGAATATGATTCTCTTTATTCAATACAGACCTCTATTGATGGCCCACCTCCTCCTTCTCTATTGATGGCCCACCTCCTCCTTCTCTATTGATGGCCCACCTCCTCCTTCTCTATTGATGGCCCACCTCCTCCTTCTCTCTTGATGGCCCACCTCCTCCTTCTCTCTTGATGGCCCACCTCCTTCTCTGTTGATGGCCCACCTCCTCCTTCTCTGTTGATGGCCCACCTCCTCCTTCTCTGTTGATGGCCCACCTCCTCCTTCTCTGTTGATTTTCTTGATGGCCCACCCCCTTCTCTTTTGATGGCCCCCCACCTCCTTCTCTGTTGATGGCCCCCCTCCTCCTTCTCTGTTGATGGCCCACCTCCTCCTTCTCTGTTGATGGCCCACCTCCGCCTTCTCTGTTGATGGCCCACCTCCTGCTTACAAAACTTTTCACTGGCTCTCTCACGTTGGAAAATTTCAATGACAAAATCCCAACAGTGTGAATTAGTTTCTTTCATTCTAGACCTGGAACGTGGGTTTAGAGAAACATAAAGGTGAATCCCTGATAAGCCCCCAACCTGTTTGAAGCTCAGGGGTAGGAGATCAGTGAACTTCCAACACAGAACTTTTGTGCCTGGACTTAACCCAGAACTGATCATCCGTGGTCATAGTCAGGGGGTGTACACACATGGAACTGCAGCTTTATGGAGGCACATGGTGGATCATGGCCATTATGACAACTAACATGGATGGTTGTCCCTGGCATTCTGGTCTCTACAATGTAAAGTATAGCTTCAAAAACATTCCATACCAAGGAAGTAGGGATGTTCAGATACCAGTTCCGATACATGGCATTTTCATGACAACTATCAGGGTTGCAGCGGTTGCAGCTGGGACCTGGCTCTGGCACTCCATCACTGTCCTGAAATCATTAGTCTGTATTGTTTTAGAAAAACTGTCACATGACAATAAATAAAAATGTATCAGTACTTGTACTTGGTAAACTGGTATTGGTGCATCCATTATATATATAATTTATAAAAACAAAATCATACATTAAACCAGAGATGTACAAATCCCAGGACCTCCGTGTGCTCCTTACAAATGACAGCTGCCTCCTAATTTATGAATTTTTCTCTAGTCTAGTCTTGGAGCTCAAAAGTATCTGCATTTGTACCGAGTACTGTACTTGGTATCTGAACATCCCTACAAGGAAGTCACAAAGGTCTAGTTGGAGGGAGTGCATTCACAGACTGTGAAGCGACAATAAAACAGAAAAGAAAGTGCACACAAATCATGAGCAATAAAAGATAACATTTATTAGTTTAAAAACAAAGTAGCAACTCACACTTTTCCACTATGCTTTTCGAGGGAGTCTTGATAAAGAGGGACTCCCTCGAAACACAGCACTGTCTTGCTACCCTGACCCCCCCAGTTTGATAAAGTCTGCACCTCTTTTCTGGTAGAGGTTCTCTGAGGAGACAGGACTTTGAAATCTTCACAGTGGGTCCTGTCTGGCAGCATCACCTCAACATGGATAGACCATCCTCAACACTTCAGTTGTGAAACTACAAATCTCTTCATCCCCTCTGCCTGTCCTATGGGACTTGGAGTGCTAAGGTTGCCTACCCGACCTTAACATCTTCCCAGCCCATTTGCTTGTATGGTAGGGGGAGGGGGGGGGTCATTATTAATTTTTAAATCCATAATGTGCTTTTTATTGTGAAGGTGTACAATGGGAGTATTGGCCTGGCCCAGCAGTGAAAGGGTTAAAGGTGTAAACTCTTAGGCATTCATCCCAGTGATGTCTTAGTAAGTCTTTGGCCTGGAACAAGTGTGTGGACAGTGAAGTCTCTTGACTCCCGACCTGCATACTTGTTGTGGATCGCCGCAATAAATACTAGCGTGCATTTTCAGGGTAACGGCCTAGAGCAGAGGTAGGGAGCCTCAGCCCTCCAGCTGTTGTGGAATTTACAAGTCCCATGAGGCATTGCAAGACTGACAACCACAGGTGTGACTCCCCGTGGCAGAGGCATGATGGGATTTGTCGTTTTGCCACAGCTGGTGTGCCGATGTTGCCTTACACTTGCCTAGAGATTAGCAAATGACCCCCGGGGTTCCTAGACGTTTACCTGTGGTAAAACACACAAGCTCCGTGTGCACAGAACTTTGCCCCCTAACACTTCCTGCTCTCATTCTGCAGCCATCTGTTCAGGAAGTGCGCTGTACTATCATCGCCTTCACAATATGCACCGTTCTTCTAATAAATCAGCAATTATCATTCATAAAGTCACAACATAGATTACCTCTTCACACCCTCAGCAATCAATCGAATATCCTAATCTGTGTTACAACAATGACAATTGATATTGAAGGGTCAGTCTAGCTAAATGCCATATTTGATTTATTGGTGGGCCGAGTCAGCCCTTGGATACTTATTTGTCTCCGATACTTCAACAGCAAGATGTCCCCGTCGTAATTCACATCTCTCTCTCTCTCCCCATCTGTCCCACCTTTGTCTGCTCCCATCTATCTTGTGTGTGTGCTCCCATCTATCTTGTTTGTCCCCTCCCCCTTTGTGTGCTCCCACCTATCTTGTTTGTCCCCTCCCACCTTTGTGTGCTGCCATCTATCTTGTTTGTCCCCTCTCGCCTTTGTGTGCTCCCATCTATCTTGTGTGTCCCCTCCCACCTTTTGTGTGCTCCCACCAATCTTGTTTGTCCCCTCCCACCTTTGTGTGCTCCCACCTATCTTGTGTGTCCAATCCGACCTTTGCGTGTTCCCACCTATCTGGTGTCTGTGCTCCCACCTATCTTGTTTGTCCCCTCCGTTTGTGTGCTCCCACCTATCTTGTTTGTCCCCTCCGTTTGTGTGTTCCCACCTATCTTGTTTGTCCCCTCCGTTTGTGTGCTCCCACCTATCTTGTTTGTCCCCTCCGTTTGTGTGTTCCCACCTATCTTGTTTGTCCCCTCCGTTTGTGTGTTCCCACCGATCTTGTTTGTCCCCTCCCGTTTGTGTGTTCCCACCGATCTTGTTTGTCCCCTCCCACATTTGTGTGTTCCCACCTATCTTGTGTGTCCCCTCCCATCTTTGTGTGTTCCCAACTATATTGTGTGCTTCCACCGACCATTGTGTGTTCCCACCTATCTTGTGTCCTCATTCTCACCTACAGGTGAAACTCGAATAATTAGAATATCGTGCAAAAGTAATTGCAGTAAGTGCTGCAAAAGGGGCCCAAACCAAGTACTGAGTACATATGCATGCTTGTACTTTTCAGAGGTCCGATATTGTTCTATGTACAATCCTTGTTTTATTGATTGCATGTAATAATCTACTTTTTTGAGGTTGTGGATTTGGGGTTCTTGGGGTTTTCATGAGCTGTAAGCCATAATCATCACAATGATGACAAATCACGGCTTGAACTATCTTGCTTTGCATGTAATGAGTCTACCTCATATATTAGTTTCACCTTTTAAGTTGCATTAGTGAAATAAATGAACTTTGCACGATATTCTAATCGAGTTTCACCTGTATATTGTGTGCTCCTTCCCACCTTTGTGTGTTCCAGCTCCTCCTGTTAGATTTTCCATAATATAAAATACAAATCTGGCAGGGAAATTGGGGGCCCCTTACAATGGACCCCTCACGTGTACAGATCTCTGCGCAAAGATCTTAGCCTGGTTGACATCTGTGTGCTGTTCCAATGTTACGCAAAGACATGCATTTTCACACTTCTGCTGCATGCCAGAACACATCACTTTGTAAGCTATGCTGTAGCGGCGTTTATTGTTAATGGCACCCCAATGCACCTTGCTCACCATGCGCTTTTACAGAAACACATACTAACAATGTATCGTGTTTTGGTGCAACGCGTTTTGAAAAAAGTAACGCAGAGACTACTTTGGTGCAAATGTCACACATAGGGCACCCCAATGAAATCAATGTGCAGCCGCTGGCAGTCACCTTGGCCAGGGCTGGATTAACATAGGGGTGCGTGGAGCTCGCGTTCCAGGCCTGCCCATGCAAATAGGCCCGGCCGCCCCAGATCACCTCGTTATGCCCAATTGCAATCCGGGCCTGCCACAATAAGGCAGAGGTGGCCTTCTAATCAGGCATATTAGAGTGCCACTCGCAGGGACCTTGCAGGGCCCTAGTGAGGAGGAACGGCTGCCTGATTAGAGAGCCGCATATGCTGTGCCCGCAGCCGCCATCGAGACTCTCCGGACCCCTGGTTAGAGCCCACACTGGCCACCAGGAAAACAAGCTCAGGGCTCCCATTGATTCTGCATTATGGAGAGTTTTATAATTATTTCATTATATATTACAATGTAATAATAATAGAAATAAATGCACTTGAATCATCCTGAAACCATCCACCCCTCCGCCCGGTGGAAACATTTCTTCCACGAAACTGCTCCCTGGTGCCAAAAAGGTTGAGGACCTCTGCTGTATATGACAGGGAAAACTACACACCTACACGAGTGTGAAAAGGGGGCTGACTGATCTCTCTCTCACCTGTCCCACAGAGTCAGAGACCGCCATTGTGTGATCAGAGACATCTCACCAGTCTGCTTCCTCTTCTAGACAGTCACAACGTGACTAGCAGTTAATTGTCAATCCGGATCTAAGCCCCAGGCACCAGGATGTCTGCTAATACCAGCAATAAAAG